CTGCCAACTGGTCGGAAAACTCTAACCGTATACCGGCCGTTACTTACCAAATGAATTTGCGTGAAAGGATACAATGGTTTATGAACAAATATGACGTTATGAATATATTCCGTTTTTCGACGAAGTTTAGGCGGTCTTCTGCATAAGAAAAGGACCCTACCCCAATAAAAAACATCTAGGTAGTGCACCGCGTCAATTGCACTCGTGGCTGCATCATAACTGGCTAAAACTCAGAAACGGGACAGGGAGCACATGGCCTGCTCAAGCAGAGCAGACGATAAAACTTCCGGGATGGCAAAACACAGCATCATAAAGGATCATGTCTTCCAGCAAGATAATTCGAAGAGGAAACGGAAAATACGGGGAGTCGTAATAGTGGATCAGCAACAAAATTAATAGATGGGAGGACATACATTATTAACTCAGCGTGGTTACCGCTGCTGCTCCATTAGCGCTGCAGTACCTAACCTTGTTTTATTATTTCTTTTTCCATGTGCTCAATTTTACAATATAAATTTGCCATTGTTTCACCTGACACAACAGCGTCGGTCGCGCCTTTGAATTCTAGCCACGAAGCCAGTTCGTCATTCCAAACGGAGAACAATTACACCAAGGTTGGCATTTTCTGCAAGTGGCTTACCACCATGAAATGCAGGTTCGTTGTAGATTTTGCTCCGGATTGGACAGTGGTAACGCACTCGTTAATTCTTTTTAACTTATTTTATCTATAATATAAATACAGTTATGAAAACGTATTTAATTGAGCAAATTGTTTATGAAATTTAAGTTCAAAGCAGTGCCCCGAGTCGCTCGAAAGTTCTTCGGAAGAAGCACTGTATCCTTTATTAAAGCAAAGACATTTGCACACTTCGAACAGACTTTTTTAGAGTCTGCCTTGTTTCCTCCTACGGACCTAAAGTACGAGTGTTGCGGAAAATGTCGAAACTGACCGACAGGTCGACACAATAGCGAGCAATCAGATTCGAACGGAACGAATAAAAGGTAAAAAATAGTCGAAAGAAATTGGGAGGCAGCCATCTGCTGGGTGCGTGGACCTCTGAATCAACCTGCAGCAGTGTTGTGTCGTGTGGTTGAGGTAAAAAATTACTTTTTACAGACTGTTTAAGGTGCGCGTTTAGCGAACGACGATGAACCGGCGACAACAGACGACGGCGATTATATTCGTTTAAATGCGTTGGTGGCACGTCGTCGGCGGAATCGGTGTGAACGAACGTTTCGGAACAAGCTGGTACAAATTAAACGTGCATGAGGTAGCAATCGATGTCGTGGCCAGACTTCGTGCTTTCGCCATCGGTCAGCCCCTGGCTTCGAGGTTCTAAGCAGAAGACTTAGGCCGAGGTTCCGAACACGAAGCAACGAGCGTAAGTGTGAGCGGAAAACGGACGAACGGGCAAAAGAGATAAAAATAGAGGGAATGGCAGACGGGACAAACTACCTCTTCGTCCCGCTGTCGTTCACCGTTGATTGAGTCTCTTGACCGACCGACCGACCGACCGACCGATGAACGAAACACCACGAGTTGCAGCGCTCGGTTGGTCTGTCGTATCGATTTGCCGCACCGTTTTTCCTTTCGCACACCCATAAGCCATCGATGACATGGACAACGCGAATCGGGAATGAATACGTCGTCATCAACACTCAATCCTCAGAAAGAGGATCACATGCCCCCCCCCATCTTTTAAGTTAGCCCTTAGTTTTCGAAGGACCACAAGACATGCATCCACACATACGCGTGCGTAGTTCGGTCAGCTGCGCATCTACGCTACGCTACGACGACGGCCCACGAAGAAAAAACGCCTACTTACTCGCACCTCGACGATTGTGAACTCGGACGAAAGCAAAACGGCTTGAATAGACGACGACTGCCAGCTTCACTCCTCTTTACTTTGGGGCCTTCGGCCACCGTTCCCCGTTCAGCCAAAGCGACGAGGACATCGAGGAGGACGAGGATGACACTCGTTTGTAGGTCGGTGCGACACACTCATGCGCTATGCCATCGATCCGCTGCTCCGCGCTACACAATACACGGCAAACGTCGCCAACGTCGTCGTCGTTCATTGATTGTAAATAATGTTACTACTACTGCCGACTCCGTACGGCCTCGTGATCACGTGATACGCATTCTACGCGCGCTAGTAACTTCCGATTGGCCGACTTATGATCCATTGCCTACGACCATATGTCATGACCGTAACCTGTTAGACAGCAGGTACTATAGTAGACTCTGCTACTGCTTACAACGCTAGGAAATGATTTACTAATATATCTGCTTCTTACGCGCTGCCCCTTCTTCCAAGTTTATGGCATAGACCATAATGAAGAATGAACAACGAACGCATCTTCCTTTAAGAAAAATTTTACTGAAATATCTACGCGCATGAGAATTTAATTTAACGATTGCAACTGCAGCCATCAGTCATCCGATAAACAATAAATACGTAATGGAGTACGTGTATCACCGAGCTTTACAGAACTTTTCATCAGATGAAAGGATGCAATGAAAGACATCAGTAAATAAACAAAAATTGGTTGTTGTAATGCTACTGTCGACGAAATTCATCTTCCTGCGAAATAACGAAGAAAAACCACCGATATCATAATGGACAATCCGTTGTTTGTACAAAACCGCAACATCTTCATGCTGTTATTGTTGAGGTCGCTAGGACGGTTTTTTATAATCACGCCTTTCAACTTTTCAGTGTCCACTCGACACTTAAAATGAGAACATGCATTAAAATCGACCATTAAAATGAGAACCTCTTTACTCGGCACTTTGTACAGAATAAAGTTCACTTCCTCAGTGAAGGATTGACATTCTACCTCCAAATTTGGAGCACGATCTGTTACAAAGTTAACGCTTTTGCCTGTTATGGCTTCAATCAAAGGATTGTCACTGTTTTTCTGACAGGCTTCCGTGATTCAGTGATTCCATCAGATTGTGTTCAGGTTCCCGAACATCGGCCTGAGCGCATGTCGTGATGTCGACTCATGAGAAGAATAGCATTCACCCGCTGAGGTTCAGGAGTCCAGAACCTTGGCGCTTCGCTGACGAGAGTCCAACAATGTCCAGTTGGTACTTAATAGCCTTATTAACTAACTCTTGTTATTTCCTTTTGAGTGAAGATATATTCCAATTTCTAACTGTAAATCCCCACTGGTGGAATGATTCTCGCGGAGCCTTTTGTGACGTGCTATAATGGCATCGCACCATGTATCTCCTCCGTTCAGAACGGGTAGCGACTTCGTTGCTGACCGATATCTTCGTCATCGTTCTGTCGATCTTCGGCAGCCGTTGTCATGCTGCTACGCTTCGGAGTGCAAGAAGCGGTAAGGAGACTCCAAGCGTCTACTTTTTGCAGCCTGCCTCAGTTGCACAGCTTGCCTGCTCCGACCACCAAGCCGGCATGATGATCCATGACGGCAATACCTGGATGGCCAGATAGCCAAGTTTTACGGAGACCTCTCATCTAAGTTTCACGCTCTCTAACCCTCATCCTTTATCAACCGGGCTTGGAACCGGCATTGACAGATTTTACATAAGCATGATTTTGTCTATATATACCTGTTAAGAAATTGTCAACATCTGCAACAAGGCTGCCCTGCTAATTTTATGATCTAAAATGAGTTCCGTAGATTGCTTAAACGGTAGACCCTGTCTGCTAGAAGCAAGTGAAAGGCATGCCCACGCCGTATAAATCCAAAACGTTACAGTATTTTAGCAGTTTGCTGGTAAACTCGTAAAATCTTGGTTGATTTTTGGCGGATATATTAGGTAATACGTTAGCGTGCTAGCAACAGCAGAAGTCACACATAGATCGCTGCGTAAGCTGCATTCTGTGACTTCATTCTGCTAAGATTGTTTTAAAATTTTTCCAGTTTTGCTGTTGCATTTCTTCATGTGATTATCTAGAATGACGAGCTTCCTTGCGACCATATCTTCTGCAAAAACTGAACCCTTGAGGCCTTTCAATCAGCCGACAGTTGATGCATCATGTTTCTTAATGATCGACCATGTAGTCCTCAACGTTGTTGCCCCCATTTACTCAGCTGCAGAAAATTGAACTTATTCACTTTGCATGGGTTAGTTTTGTTAGAGACGTTTGACTCGTAAGCGAAGTATACTAGTTTAGTTGTATCTTCATATTTGGGAAAATTATGACCCGGGGAGGTCTGTAATCTGTATCTATACAGAAAAAGGACTATATAGTTTATATATTCATAATAGTTGCATTTTAGAAAGGTAGCTTCAGTGCGATTGAGCCTTGCAAAGTCTTACGA